ACTCATCTTGGGACCCACGGAGGCCATCTTGGATTGGGTCTTATTGATCGATAAAGCTAAGGTCATTCAAGAATGGTGCAGAAAATTCCTACTGGGCCTTAAATCGCATTCTATAGAAAAATTTTTTGATCGCCTATTGATTATTATTTTTTTGACGACTCTGTTGAAAAAATCTGCAGCTTTTCAACGCGTTTTTGAAATAAAAATATTCAATGAAAAATATTGCATTCAAGAATCAATAGAATTAGATCTTTCTGTACCGCTTATTCTGTTGTGATTGTTTCTGTAGCAATTCCTTTGCTCGATTTTTTTCACTTTAATTCTTTCTATGAGAACGGAAGAAAATGCATTGAAAAAAACTCGGAAAATGCACTTCAAGGAATTGTTATAGATATAGCTTCAACCGAGTAATTGATATAGCACGATAAAATTCTATCTATTAAATATTTCCTAACGGAAAAAAGACGCAGAAAAGCTACTGAATTGTTCAATAGAATCGTAAAAAATTAAGAAAATTTTCAATGGAAGGTCAATAGAGTTTTTTAACAAGCACGCTTTCCTCTCACATTTTTTCATACGTATACCTCATCGTTTCTGACTTATTTTTATAGGACGGAATGATTTTTGTAGCTCCATTTCACCTCGTTCATTCCAAATTCAGTAAAATATCTGTTTGAAAATTATAAAAATTTCATAAACCAGACCAATTGAATAGTTTTCATTGAAAATTGACGAAAAAACTTCGAAAATTGAAGTAATGAATTGATTATTAGGTGCACGTAAGGATATGGTGGTTAGTGTCTTCGTGGACACCAGTGGCACCTGCAAACCCGGTGCAACCACTAATTTGCAGAAACCCAAGAAGTTCCTGGGCAATGGAGTTTTAATCACCCGTGATTATGCAAAGTACAAGGGTCCAGTGATAAAAATGATGGAGAGAATCACAAATTCTCCATCGATTGATCTGAATCTAATCCCACCGAACTTTGTACGTGGTCAGCATTTCCCATCGATTATCTGTCCACGCATATTGGATCCCAAACCTGACGAGGTTGTTTTAGACATCTCTGGATATGCAGGGATGGAAACATCTCACATTGCTGCACTGATGGGAAACAAGGGAAAAGTCATCGCACTTCAGAGGGATGCCGCTAGGATTGACCAATTCACAAAACGTCACAAGGAGTTCGGATGTACCAACATCCGAATTTTCCATCTTGATTTCGAGAAATTGGTTAAACAGAATGGGGCCAAGAACATCAAAGATTTTGATTATCGACCACCCTTTCCAAAGGGCAGTTTTGACAGGATCCTTGTGGATGCAGATTGCAGTTATCTTGGATTAAGACCTTTGATTTTCTACCCTCAGAATGGACGATCAATGGCCAGTTGGCAACCCCGTCAGAAGAAATTATTCACTTCTGTAAGTAAAATTAGTTTCTTGATGTTTTGAGGGTACACGCACGAAATATCTATTTTCGTCACAAGGCCGAAAAAAACTTTGCTGACGAGTCTGAGGGTTGCAGATCCAGGCGAAGCCTAGGAATGCAATCACACGACTCGGAAAAGTTGTTTTCAGCCGAGTGATGTACATAATTTTTCCTCATAATGTCCGTAAAACGACGTTTTACCGACATGTGTAAAAGAAAACCATAGAAGAAGAAAAGCTGAGTAGAACTGAGCCAGTAGAACTGAGGAGATTGTGCTCCTTTGAGTTACCCCCACTTTATTTAATTCCCGCTCACATTCTTGTCTCCCATCTCTGAAAACCAAAGGCACAATTTCTACAGTCTAACCGTAGTTTTTCGTCTATTTTATTGAAAAGTTCCGTACCTGTCTGCACATTTTTTTATACAGAAATGTTTAATAGAAAATGTTTTATAAAAACAATCAGTAGATGCCCATATTTCCAGATAAGTTTGAATAAGCCATATACTATTATATATTGTCCAAAAAAAATTCACATTGCCGAAAGTTATCTAGAATCCTTTTTTTATTCGATTTTTATCTCGAAATTTCAACTCGATGCCCCATCATTCAGAGACCTCTGAAAATTATGAATTTGGATTGAAAAAAATGTAAAGAATATTATAAACATTTTGAAAGAGCGTTTTTAATTAATATTGAGGAATTGGTTTGATAGAGGAGATATGAATAATATATAATTACAGTAGCAAATGGAGACCTGCCAATCGTCATCATGGGGGGAGGAAAGACGAAATGATGAATCCTTTGGCACTGCGCAACCAGACAAAAAGTAGCTCTTTGAAAAATTTCGTAATATTTTTAAGAATTTATTGATCACACTCTTAC